GACTAGCCGCGTCGTCCCCTTGGTTTTCTTCACCGGCAAGGAAGGAAGGAAGGAACGCACCGAACAAATGGGATCATAAACAATTTGCTACTCTTATAGTACTAACTCTCATCTGCTCTGCTCGTCTTGGCATCTTACGAGCCAGAACAATCCGGCACTGGCTAGTGGGTCTAGGCGGGGGAAGGGAGGCAGGAAGGAACAGCGCAATTCATAACATGATCATTCACAGCGACAACACACACGGAGCACACGGATCACATTTGGAACATGGCCGAGAGGACACCTGGGTGGGTAGGGTAGGGTCGCCTCCGCCTCCGCAGCGAGCTTCTTCCTTCCCTAGGCTTGTTTATTTCTTCAACCAAAATCGATTGAACCAAAATTCGAAAGCCAGGCGATTGATATGTAGCTATTGTGAAAAAGAAATAAAAAAATACCCGCACAAATGTTCGTGTAAAATCATTCGCATAGCACCTAGACGTGCAATACTTAGGACACGTCTAGACGTGCTTTTAGCAAAACCGTACTCCCACCTTCCATCTATATAGGGTCTAATGCGTTTTTTGAGGCTAACTTTGACCAAATATTAGAGCAATAATACATGACATGCAACTTACGCAAAGCACACCGTTAAATTCGTGTGTGAAAGGAGCTTTCAATGATATAATTTTCACATTATGCATGTCATGTACGCCCTCCATTTTTATATACAAGACCACTATGGAATATACATTTTGCATCTATACAGGGCCATCAACGGTAATCGAAGCAAAGTTAATGATATTTTCTCGTACTAACAACCTATTTAATAGTTGCATGCATGCAGTCATAATGACAATCAGCTACTTTCTCCACTCAGTTTTTTTGCATGCATGCGAAGTATTAATGATCCCAGTAAACAAGAAAAAAAGTTGACTTGTAAAACAGGCATTAAATTTTATATTGGTACCTATAATCTGAGTTTGTGGCCTTGTATACAAAAATGAAGGAAGTACTATTAATCTTGTCAATAGTCAAAGGCGGTCTTAAAAAATGCATTAGGCCCTATATAGATAGAAGGAGGGAGTTACTTAAATAGCGAAGCAGTCCCATGCATATACTACTCTCAGCTAGTGAGTGCGTTACCATAAGCATTAATTAGAGCTGGAGCCTTTTGGATGATGAATGCGTGGTTGACCCACCAATCTTTGACATATTTACTACAAGGATGTTGCTCTCCCGGAATGATATGGCCCCTAATTTTTTTACACCCGCCGCGACCCAGAGTTTAGCTTCAAGCTTGATGTTGTTGAGCAAGATTGTTGAAGGAGATGACTCATTGCGGAAGACCCTCCCGTTTCATTCATTTCAAATAGCCCAAGATATTAGCATGGTAAGAGAAGCCCCCGGGCCTTGCGATTTGGTATGGTGATGTTGGAGCGGTTGACCCACCAATCTTTGACATATTTACTCGAGATGCCATGTAGAAGTGTCAAGGTGCTCAAAATGTAGCCATTCATTGACCAAATTCAAAGGCTAATGGTGAATCTACATTTGTAGAAGAGGTGGGCGCCAGACTCTTGCACTCCCTTGCAGAGGGGGCAAAGGTCGCAATTTGGCCATCCACACTTTGCCAATCTGACGGCTTCCCAAATCCTATCTTGGATAGCCAACCACGTGAAGAACTTCACTTTAGGTGGCGCCTAGGCTTTCCACACCTCATGTGGCATCAGAGAGTCTATAGAGCCCATGAATTGTGCCAAGTAAGCGGTTGCCAACGAGTATTGCACATTCTCCGTGTGCTTCCAGATGATTCAATCCTCGATGTGCTCCACAAGATGGAAGCCATTGATGAGAGTCCAAAGGTTTATGAATTGCCTAATGTGCTCGACGGTAAAGCTTCTCGTGATCTTAATCTTGAAGATCCATGCATCATTGAGGAGCGCATCCTTGACTTTTCAATTTTTCCTTGAGGATGCCTCGAAGATAAGAGGCGCGATTTCCTTAGGCTTCCGGTCTTGAACCCATGGAGCTTCCCAGAAGGGGGTCCTCGCCCCATTACCAATCGTGATTATTGTGCATGCATAGAAGAGGTTGAGGTCCATCTCATCGCAAGGATTTCCCATGCCGACCCAACATTCTTGTTGGTTCCTTCCACTCGAGCCAAGGCCATCTCAGTCTTAGGACTCTCGCAAATTTTTGTTGTGTTTAGTACTCCGAGACCTCCCCTCTGAAAAGGCCGGCAGACCATGCCCCAATTGTTCTGTCCGCGCGCGGACCAAAGGAATGCCGTCGCAATTTTATTTGTGTTGTGTAGTGTAGCTGTGTAGGATGCTCGTGGGGACAACCAAGCGGTGTGATGCAGTAAACCACTTGTGAGGCGAGGGAAGATTTGACAAGTGTGGTAGGCCAATGGTTGTTACCCTCCCAAGGAATGGAATGAGCCTTGCACTTGCACTTGGCACCAGTCGTCCTGTCCGCCCCGGTCCTTATTTCTCAGGATAACGTGCATGCATGATTGGCTTTTTGACGCGGCAAATATTGCATCGGGCTGAGACCAGACGCGGCCATCGTCTGATTGATCGGCGAGGAAACGAAAGAACGCACTGAGATGATAAAAAAATAATTGTTGCTAACCTTCTACAGTAGTAGTGACTAGTGCTGGAGCAGCAGTTGGTCCCACAGAAGGTGGCAGTAATAACACCGCTCCGCCTCCGCCAGTGAGTGATACAGTAGATGTGAAACAAATTGGACAGTAGGTATGATTATTTTTCTCCACGTCGTGCATGCATGATTAGCATCGCGTGGGCCACTTGGGCCAGAATGGAGCTGCGGAGCGACCGCGTGCAGCGGACCTTATTTTTTTTGAAAATGTGGAGGCAGTTCGATCGGTCATGGGCCCATTGCTCAAAACAGAAGGTAACCAAGGCGGAGCACTGCAGTGTCCACGCCGTTGTACATCATTTTTGCTTTTTTATTCCCTTTCCTTTGGACTTGTATCTCTTCTACGTACTTCCTCCGTAAGTAGTGATCTAAACGCTTTTATATTAGTTTACAGAGGGAGTACATTCCTAGTAGTGGGGTACTAATCTTTAGTGCATATGCAGAGCCCATGCTGTTCCGTTTCAGAAAAAAGAAAAGAAAAAAGTTTCAGTGCTGATTAAGATGCTGGATTTGTTAAAGGTCAGTCAGTACGGGGGCATGTGCCTTTTTTTATACTGGTTGGTTATGGCTGTTGGGAGTGGGGAGTGCAATTTAATAAGACCGATCGAGATCTTATATATGTACTCCCTCTGTATTTGTCTGGAAATACTTATCATCAAAATGGATAAAAAGAGATGTGAAAGATTTACAGTCAAAGAGGAAGAAGAAATGCAACGCGCGAGAGCAAGTGCAGATGCGGCAGTCACAAAACTGCAGCAATAAGAGCATCTCCAACAGAAGCGCTATATGAGCGCCGCGCGGTATAAAAACTGCTTTTAGCGCGCGCGGACCCGGTTTGGAATCTCCAGCGGCCACACAAAAAGCGCGCGCGCTATAACTAATGCAGCGCGTGCATCAAAAAGGCATCGCGCGCAGCATATTTAGTGCGCCCGGTCGCGCGCGCTGCAAACTCTGGGCTGCTGCAGATGGGACCGCTTGATTGGGACCGTTGGACTCACGCGCGCAGCATATTTTGCAGCGCTTGTTGAAGCAAACGTCTTCTAGCGCCCTAAAAAATTTACTTGCGCGCTGTAACCTGTTTTTTGGGCGCCGCGCATTGGGCGGCTGTTGAAGATGCTCTAAACAGAGCAGCGGCAGCATGACAACCCAACCCACTTTGACGCAACGCTGATGATCTTTTTTTTTTTTTTTGGAAACAACGAGCCTCCTCACTTACCTAATTCAGTGCAATGTGTACATTCAGTGCCCAATGCATCTATTTTTTCACCAGGGAAATACGAACATGAAGGAGTAACACTGCATAGTCAGGACCGGAACGAATGCTCTGCCGATTTAACAGCGGCCAGCTTTGTACAATAAGAAGGCAGTGCAATAATATGCAGGTTCAAAATTGGAAACAAGGCAATGCAATAAAATGCAGGTTCAAAATTGTACAGGTAATTTGAAAATGCAGGCTTTTATCTGGAAGCACACAAATTTTAAAAAGCAAAGATGAATAGAAGTCAGTAGTTTGCCTTGCAACAAGCAGTAGTGAGCTTCTTTTTGCGCTCTCGCTCTCCTTTCTGCAGTTTAACAGCACATTGACCATGAAGTGTTCAGATATAATTCTGACAGAGTTTTTTTTTAGGGACTGGCAGAGTTAAGTTCAGCTGTTAATCTACATTAAACTGTGAGTTGTTGGTTTTGACCAACTCACTTGAGTTTATAACACAAATGCATTTTTTCAGATCGCCAACATATTTTGAACACATGCTTAGTTAACACACGCACTGCACAGAAAAGAAACAAGTAATGTCATGGCTAGTCCACAAATATTTGCATTAGCATCACCAGTTGTCAATGCAAGAGCATGAGCCTTGTTTCATTTCATGCAGCCATTCAAATAAATATCTCTGCTGTAAATCTTCACCGTATACTTACAAGAAGAATGAAAACCAGCATGCATCTGAAGATTACTGACAATTTTTACTGGTATTTTAGGGCATTAGACTAAATTTACTTGCACAACTCATCGCAGCAATAAAACAGAGCAGCCGTCCAGCCAGCCCATTGACACGTAGGACATGGGATTCCATGCCCGGTTCCTACACTTCTCCCTTGGATTCCTATTTACTATTGCACAACATGACAATCTAACCCGCATTGATGCAAGCAATGCTGATGATTGTACAAAGCATCGCGGATTAACAACGAAGCAAAAGAGAGCATGCCCGTGTCATTAAGCCACGGGTAGAAACAAAGAACACGCAGGTTAAAGCTCTTGGCAGAAAATACTTGCGTGACAACAAATCAGCTAGCACAAAACGAAGGTGACGACAGAGTGCAGCCTGCTTCTGCTGACTGTGCTGTTGAATAAGCCTTCAGAGCTCGTACACCGCCATTGTCCCCTCGATGTCAGACGCTGCCCACACGCCGAGTGCGCCGGGCAAAGGTAGCGACCAACGGTAAGCGCATCTCTGGGAAGGCACGGTTTGGCTCCTCCATGCCTCGGGAATCGGCGGTGCGCTCGGCATAACAGGTGTTACTGGGCTTTCCTCTGGTAAGTCCGAATCGAACAAGCCGGAAGTAACCTGAAAGGTTCAGTTGGAGAAATTGAGATGATCATGCAGTGCATCATAAATCAGATGGTTCATAGCTGGTGACCTACTATCTTCCTACCCGGCGTGTAGCAGTTGAGATGTGGAGGCAAATACGAACATGATGTGGGTGTTTGGGCACAAACAACATCGATTACAAGAAATGGGTAGCTCAGCAGGTCACCTACCTATTTTGGTATGATGTGTACATTCTGTGTCCTACTCCTATGTACCTATTGTTTCCCCAGCGAAAGACGAACATGAAGGAATAACTGCATCAATAGAACCAAAACAAATGCTCGACCGATTTAACAGCAGCCAGCTTTGTATTTCCTACCACCATCATTTGACTATATAGTATGATTTATTTTAACATTGTGATTTTGATGTACGATCGACTTATTAGCCTGAAAACAATGGTACCTGGCCAAAGCGGTTCTTGGTTTCCCGAGAAGCTGCAGTTTCTCCTTCAGATACAGCTCTTTTGGTTTCTATCTTCACATGCTTCTGCGTTAGTTCATGCAGCAAGCAGCAGAGCTTCTCTGGGTCCATTCTCCCGACCACTATCACCTCTGCCGTCTCCGCCACCAGGTCAGCCCTCTCCACCCCTTCATAACCATGAAGGCCAAAATTTAGATCATTCACAAAGGCAGTGCAACAGAAGACATGTGCAATAATCACACATAACAACAGATGTATACTATCACTCTATCACAAAGAAATGCTCATTTAAGCGACGTGCATATGTACCTTCTGAAAGGGCGATCTCTTTCACCCCGTCGTTGATCTTCTTGATGCAACCATTGCACTGGCAGTGCATGCTGACCTTCAGAACATAAGTCTTTGACATGTTGTTCTCGTATTGTTCCTGTCAGATATTCATAAGAACACCTCAATCTCAAAACAATATGAAGAACTACTTGTACCATGGATCTGTATATACGTTTAGATGCTCGAAAAACATACCTTTGCCATGATCATTTAGACCTTGTCTTAAGCCTGGTCGTGATACTTGATTCTCCAGAAAGAGTGTGATTGTAGTATGATATACAGAGAGCACAAAGGTGGAGCACAAACGAAAAGGTAGCTATTGTTGTGGTTGGTCATCACCTTCTTGACATTCTTGTGGATGAAAAGGAGAGCTTCCAATAAGAAATTAGTTCGAGTCAATCTGACTTCAGATTATCAGTAGTAGCGAAAAAAGAACAACATCAATATTGAAAAAAAGGCAACGCAATAAAATGCAGGTCTAAAATTGTACAAGTAATTTGAAAATACAGGTTTTTATGAAAACACATAAAATTTAAAAATAGATTAAGAAAAGTCAGTAGTTTGCCATTGCAACAAGCAGTTGTGAGCTTCTCTCTGTGTTTTCATTTTTTTTTCTGCAGTTAAACAACACATTGACCATGGAGTCTTCAGATATTATTCTGACAGAGTTAGGTCAGCTGTCAATCTGCACTAAATTGTGAGTTGTTGGTTTTGATCAACTCACTTATGTTTAACAGGTGGATTGTTTTGGATCTCCAACATTTTAAATTAATTATTAGTTTACGCATGTACTGCACAGAAAAGAACAAAAAAGAAAGAGAGGCTTGCCTGCAATTTGTGAACATAACGGCCATAGTTTGTCCAGAATATTTGCATTAGCGTCACCAGTTGTCCATGCAAGAGCATGACCCTTGTTTCATTTGATGGAGCCTGGTTCCATCATTCAAACAAATATCTCTTCTGTAAATCTTCACAGATACTTGAAAGAAGAATGACAACCAGCATGCATCCGAAGATTACTGACAATTTTTATTGGCATTTAGGGCCTTAGAATAAATTTAGCAACCCAAAGGCTACAGAAACCATCTCACTATGTTGGGTGCAGTCTTTCCCCCACTCATATTGTGTCTGAAAAACCTACACTGCTACTTTGTACGCTTGTGCTTAGGTTTGAGGCGTATAACCTTTCTCACCATTGCAGACCTTTTCTGTTTCCTTCCATCTGAAAATATGTCAGACAAGACGAGGCTTTCGCTTTCAGGCTTGTAGCTAGGATCAAACCGAAGTAGTTCCTCCTCTGCAAGTTTTCCAATCCTCATGTTTCCATGGATCTCACATTCTCTCCTAAGAGAAGCCCAGACCACACTATTTGCTTTGAAAGGCATGTTCTGGATAAAACGGTAAGCATCGTCAAGCCGTCCATCTCTTGCAAGGAGATCAGCCATGCAAGCATAATGCTTAGTATCTTGTTCTACACCATACTTGCCCACCATGGAATTAAATATCTCAAACCCTTGTGTCACTAAGGCACCGCGGCTGCATGCACACAACACTGCCGTGAAAGTGATCTTATCAGGATGGAGCCCGAGCGATCTCATTTCATCAAAAAGCATAATAGCTTTCTCACCAGAATTGTGATGAGCTAGTCCGCCTATCATAGCATTGAACAACTCCACGGTCTTAAATATGTCATCCACACCACAAAACACATCCATGGCTGTCTGTATGAACCCATGCTTGGCATACATGTCAACTAAGGCAGTAGCAAGTCTTGCATCTGTGCTGATCAGCTCATTATGCATCACACGATGATGAAGCCTCTTTGCAACATCGAACGTACGGTACTGAATACAAGCTGAAAGAACTTTAACTACTGTGACTCCATCTGCCTCCATTCCTGCCTCCTCCATCTCCTCAAATAACATCAATGCCTCCTTAGATCTGCCAAACTGCACAAACCCACCAATAAGAGCCGTCCATGCGACCAAATCCTTCTCTGGCATCTCATTAAATAACGCTCTAGCCATCTCGAGCTCCCTAGACCTGGCATACCCTGACACCATCATGGTCCATAACCTCACGTCCCTTGCCTTCTCCCCTGCCAAATCAAACACCTTCCTGGCAAGCACCAGCCCCCTGCACTTCACATACATGTCCACCAGCACGATCGCCACCTGTTGTGACTGAAACGCTGCAGCCCGAAGCGCTCTCATGGCAACCGCGTGCAACGCTTTTGCCACCCTCAAATCCTTCAGCCCCACACATGCGCCTGACAACGCCGTGATGGTCCACCCATCCGGCCGCAATCTTCCCTCCACCATAACCTTGAATACTCCGAAAGCATCGCCAACACAGCACGAGTTCGCATATGAACCGATCAGAGTGTTGAATGATACGGTGTCCCTCGCTGGCATTTCATCGAACAGCCTGCGTGCCAGAGAGGGTAAACCGAAGGACGCATAGAAGTGGAGCAGGGAGTTGGCGACGAAGAGGTCGGAGGCGTAGCCGGACTTGACGAGGAAGGCGTGGGCGGAGAGCCCGGGGGAGGGGAACGCGTGGTGGGCGCAGGCCGCGAGGGCGGCCGAGAGGGAGTGGGAGTTTGGGACGGCCTCCGCCTGCGTCTCCAGGGAGCGACGGAGTTTGGGACGGTCGCGCAGGATTCGGAGGAAGAGGCGGAGCGAGGCGAGGTGGTGCCCCGAGCGGAGGTGCGGGCGTAGGAGGCGCGAGGCGGCGTGCGCCGGGAGCGGGAGCCCGAGGAGGAGGAGTTGCGCGTGCGCCTGGAGCGAGGGCCGGCGGCGGAGGGACGCGAGGAGGGAGAGGTGGAGGAAGCCTCCCGGGGCGGCGGCCGCGACGGCGCTGCCGGCCCGGCGGAACCTCGACAGGCGAGGCCTCGTCGCCGTCGGCGTGGATGCCGCCGGAGTGGCGGGGGCAGACGCGCCGCCGCTCATCTGGCGTTTGAATCAGACACGTAGACGTGGGCTTGGAGGTCATTGCCTGAAGCCCATCTGAACAGAAGTATGGGCCTCCGCGAGCAAACGCCAACCCAGATAGACGCCACTCTGCCTCCTCCGGTCCTCCCCCAAACCCTCACCGCCGCAACCTCGACGCCGCCGGCGGGAAAGTTCACCGGATTCCATGGACTACGACAGGTAAGCAAGCGACACCCTGAACACTCCCCTCCTCTCGCAACTTGCCCGCCCTTCCTCCCGTTCCGGCATCTAGCTATAATTTTAGTAGAGATTTTGGGCCGCTCCACTGATTTTTCATGTATTCCGGTCTCATGTACGGTGTCATCTGATGGCAGGCTGAACTCCCCGAGCACGTCGGCGATCACGCTGGAACTGATGGGCCACCGCCTGCATATTTCTCAGGTCGTCATGCTCCGTGACGCGATGTGCTTTCCTAGCTTCTTCTTTGCTGCCACTCTCATGAAGTCTGAATTTTTCGCTGTCTGCAGGACCCCAATTCGAAGCACCTCGGCACGACGGTATGGGACGCGTCGATGGTGTTCGCAAAATTCCTGGTAATAGCCTGCTGTTAGTTCCGAGCTCTCTTTTACAGTTCTGCATTTTGTAAGCTTGATTTGTTAGTGCTAATGTAGCAGTCTGACTTTATATCTGCAGGAAAAGAATAGCAGGAAAGGTAGGTTTTGTCCATCCAAGCTGAAAGGGAAAAGGGCGATCGAGTTAGGAGCTGGTTGTGGTCTAGCCGGGCTTGGTAAGCTGGATCTCATTGTCCTTTCAGAGATATCTATGATCTTGGAGGTTTTCTCTCAAGGGAAATAATATATGCTTCTCATTCAGGTATGGCATTGCTTGGTTGTGACGTTGTTACAACTGACCAGGTTGAGGTGCTCCCGCTGCTCATGAGGAATGTTGAACGCAATAAATCGTGGATTGCGCAGTCTAATCCCGACTCAGGTTTGTTATCAAAGAAAGCACCATTCATATATGTAATTTAGGATATTGTGATGATATTCTCATCATTACATGTTCTGAATGCATAGACTTTTTGTTATGCTTCTCAGTGATTAGCTAAATTTTACTCTTTAGTATAGGATACTCACCACACTTGGATATTCCTAGTTCTTACAAAGTGTATTTTGCAAATAGGTTCCTTTGGCTCAGTTACGGTTGCAGAATTGGATTGGGGGAATAAAGAACATATCAGAGCCGTTGAGCCTCCATTCGATTACATCATTGGGACTGATGTTGTAAGCTTTCTGACGCAGCACTTGTGTTTGGTGCAAGTTTTTCCCTCAAGTTGTTTCTCCTGATTTCATATTATGCAAGATTATGTGCTGAATCGAATTGACTGATCTTAGAAACATTGCCCATGATCTCTGCGTAATCGAATTGATAACTTTTTATAGGGAACCTCTTAAGTATTTTTTTTTGCGAAAAGAACCTCTTAAGTATTTACCTAACTTAATTAATATTTTTAATAGGGAACCTCTCAAGTATTTACCTAACTGAAGAAGAAAAACTTGGTCACAATACAGATTCTTTTTGAACGGAAAACTGTAGAGGACGCCCCACATTACAGATTCTTGGGAATATTTATCCATGGATGTTATGAAAAATAGGCATACCCTATGAGTTGAAATCGAAATGCTGAGAACATAGTGAAATTGAAACGCAGATGACAGACATTCGACATAATATCAATATACAATACAGAGACCTGCCACTTCATCATATCCTTAGACAACACAGAGACTTACCACTTCATCTTTTGTGTGTTTTGAAGGTTTATTCAGAACATCTATTGCAACCTCTACTGGAGACAATTATTGCACTATCTGGTCCTAAGACGAAAGTACTGGTATGTGATTTCCCCTGTCCAAGTAGCATTATTTTATAACCCTGTAGAAAAGATCAGTAAAAGAGCACAGCTGAGTAACTGTTTGATAAGCAGCTAGGATACGAGATCCGTTCCACCACTGTCCATGAGCAGATGATGGAGATGTGGAAAATCAACTTTAATGTGAAAACTGTATCCAAGTCAAAGGTACATATCTTGATTATTGTTTTCCCTCCACCTATTTGAAGCAGCACTAAAGATGGTTTCTGAATTATTGCACAGATGGATGCTAAATATCAACATCCTAGCATAAATCTTTACATGATGGACCTAAAGGCTTCATCAGTCCCTGAGGCCGGACCCAACGGCAATGGGAACACCGAGGAGGAGGATGACGATGCCTCCAACCCAGGAGAAGACGAAGATCCAGGAGTGAAGACTGAACCTTGTACGGCTTCAAAAGAAGACATGGACGACTGGGAAATCAGAAGGTCCGGGGCCATGGCTGCAAGACTTCTCAAGGATGTCAGGTTAACATGAGTTTAGATCTGTTGAACTCTACCCAGTTGGTGTTGTACTTTTCTGTGTGTGCGTGGGAACATGGTGGTGTTGTTGTCTTGAACATTTATTCTCGAATTACAGTTTAATCTGCTGGCCCTATTGAGTTGCTATATGATGCAAAGTTGATGTTATGTACTGTGTTGAAATAAACGAAGCAAGAGAGAATGTGGAGAAGCTTTATTACCATTCATCCAGGCTGATTTAGGGATTGTTCAACAATTGCCATAAAACAACTATGGTGCAGATGTTGTGAAACTGTGATGAATGGAATGGGTCATAAAAGATGAGATGACACCACTCGTCAACAGAGAGGTTGTAGGTGATATTCATAAGCCGGAACATAATCCTATCACTGGAAGAGTTGGGCGCTCTTTGATGTGCCTTAGTGCTGTTGGGTTTCTTAAAGCTCTTTCAAAATATAAGGTCTGTTAATTTTTTTAAAAGTCAAACCTTTTAAATTTGATAAAATTTATAGAGTAATATAGCAAAATTCATAATATCAACAGTATGATTAAAGTCATCATGAAATTAATTTCCATACTTTTTTGTTTAATATTGTGGATGTCGATATTTTTTGCCTGAACTTGTTCAGAGTTAAAGAATTTTGACTTTCCAAAAAACTAATACTCCTTATATTTTGGAACTGATGGAATATTTAATTTGGCGGGTGGGAGAGATGATGGAGTGCCTTTTATTTTTATTTATAATGTGGTGATTTGATGGGCCTTTCGTAGTATAGTTCTGTGTTATCTGCTAACCAACATATATTTGTGTTATCTGCTAACCAAGCTGGTCTTTACTATTTCCCTTTGCAACCCTGGAACATCTAACCGCAACCAAGAGTGATCACAGCCCGATTTTGCTCAAGACTGACTTGGAGACAGGCAGCCAACGGACGATAGGGAGGAAACCATTCCGATATGAGTGTGCATGGGAGTCGGATGAGCGCTTCAAAGAAACGGTGGATGAGGCATGGAATGGAAACGGCCCTGTGACGACACTAGCTGACTTGGCCAACAAGTTGCAAGATGTCTCGGCTTCAATGACACGGTGGAGCAAGAGGACTTTCGGCTCGGTACGTCAGGAGATGCGGGGGTTACGCCGGCAGCTCGCTGAGCTTATAGCAGATCCGTTGCGAACGGGCCCAAGGCAGGAAGAGGAGAGGGTTATGGCTCGCTTGATTGAGTTAGCATACAGGGAGGAAATAATGGCAAAACAACGCTCTCGGATCATGTGGCTTGCTGAAGGCGATAGCAATACCAAGTTCTTCCAACGGAAAGCGAGTGCTCGGCAGGCAAAAAACAGGATCGTCAAACTGGAACGAGGTGACGGAACAATGTGCACTGACCCGAGCGAGCTGGCAGGTATGGCCACAGAGTTTTATAAAAACTTATATTCATCAGAGGGTACTATTGGTATGGAGGAGGTTCTTTCACACATCCCTGCTCGGGTGGATGGAAGAATGAATGCTCGCCTTAATGCAGATTATAGCAGAGATGAAGTTAAAGATGCTTTGTTTTAAATGTTTCCAACCAAGGCACCTCGCCCAGACGGTTTTCCCGCACACTTTTTTCAGAAACATTGGGACTTCTGTGGTGATGAGGTTATAAGGATGATCATTCGAGTGCTTGATGGAGTTGATTCCCCGGAGGAGATTAATAACACATTCATCGTCTTAATTCCCAAGATCTCCAGTCCAAAAGTTTTAGGACAATTTCGGCCAATAAGCCTCTGTAATGTAATCTATAAGATTGCGTCAAAGGTCTTAGCTAACCGGCTGAAATTAATTCTCGCCGACATTATCTCCAAAGAGCAGTCTGCTTTTGTCCCTGACGTCTCATTCCAGACAATTTTATCACGGCCTATGAGTGTTTGCATTATATGAAAACAAGAAGGGTGATGGGGAACAGGTTCTATGCGCTTAAGCTGGATATGATGAAGGCATATGACCGCTTGGAGTGGCCGTATCTAAAAGCGGTTATGATTAAACTAGGGTTCAGCCCTAGATTCACGGAGACTGTCATGAGGTGTGTTTCTTCGGTCACTTTCTCGGTTTTGTTTAATGGTGGTTGTCTGGATGGTTTCAGGCCGACTCGTGGGCTCAGGCAGGGAGACCCGATCTCGCCATATTTATTTATGCTTGCAGCGGAGGGACTTTCTTGCTTGTTGAAGTCCCAAATTGGTGTTCAAGGCATTGCAGTAGCACCAAATGCCCTTTTGGTTAATCACCTCCTTTTTGCCGACAACAGTCTACTCTTTTTTGAGGCTAATGAAGAGTCTGCTACACGTGTTAATGGGCTTCTTAGAGTTTATTGTGATGCATCGGGTCAGAGAATAAATATGGATAAATCTTCAATATTTTTCAGCAAGGGGGTAGCGGACTCGACCAAGGATGCCATCAAGACTATCCTTGAGATACACAATGAGTCTTTAACCGAGAAATATTTGGGTTTGCCTTCTGATGTGGGTAGATCAAAAGAAGGATCTTTTAAGTATCTAAAAGACAGAATCTGGAAACGGGTACAAGGTTGGATGGAGAAGTGTCTGTCAGCGGGAGGAAAAGAAGTCCTTATCAAATCTGTCGCTCAAGTCATCCCAACATATTCGATGGCATGTTTCAAGCTGCCTCGGGGTTTATGCGAGCACATTAATGGTTTGATACGGAAATTTTGGTGGGGCAGTAAAAACGGCGAGAGGAGGATGGCATGGTGTTGTGGAAAACAATGTCAAAACCAAAGTTTATGGGTGGTCTGGGTTTCCGAGATATCGAGTTGTTTAACCTGTCTCTTCTAGCGCGTCAGGCATGGAGTTTGATGCAGCAACCGGATTCTCTGAGTGCTCGCGTTCTAAAGTCTCGGTACTTTCCCGACACTGATTTGTTGAACGCCACTTTGGGAACCTCCCCTTCCCAGGTCTGGCGATCACTAATGGAGGGCTGAGACATTCTGGCCTTGGGGCTCATTAAGAGAATTGGCACAGGTGCTAGTACTAGTGTTTGGGTGGACAACTGGGTGCCGAGAGATTACAAGCTTAGGCCCATCTGTGCCCGCACAACGAACCCGCCGGTGATGGTTTCGGAACTTATTAATTCTGCAACCCGAACATGGAATAAACCTGCCCTAATGGAGCACTTCTTACCTGCTGATGTCGAGGTTATTCTCAACATACCACTTAGCACAAGGCAACAGGAGGACTTCTGGGCTTGGCATTATGACAAGAGAGGTGTTTTCTCGGTAAGGTCAGCTTACAGGATGATTTGTGCAATCAAAACACAAAGAGAAGATTGGCTAGAACATCGACCGGGCCATTCTAACATTGCTGCAGATAAAAACTCATGGACCCAGTTGTGGAAGGTGAAAGTTCCCTCAAAGATCAGAGTGTTTGTGTGGTGTTTGGCGCATACTTCAATCCCAACCGGCTCGGTTAGACATGGAAGACACATAGCAGATTCTCCATCTTGCTCCATTTGTGGGGCGGAGGCGGACACTTGGCGCCATTCGTTGCTAAGCTGTCGTATGGCAAGATGTGTTTGGGCTTTGGAGGACGACGAGCTGGTCGAGCATGTGATATCAAACCAAAACGATGATGCTAGGCTCTGGCTGTTTTGGCCTTTTGAGAATACTATTCAACAAGATCTAGCTCGAGTTCTAGTGACCATGTGGGCAATCTGGTGGGCCAGGAGGAAAGCTATACATGAGAATCAATATCAGAGTCCTCTTTCCACCATGAGTTTCATACGGAGGTTTCTGGAGGAGTTAGATATAGCCAGCGCGCACAGACCCAAGGCCAATGAAGTTCGAGCGAACCGGTCGATAGCTAAAGTTTGGTTACCACCCCCGGGTGAGGCGGCAAAATTTAACTGTGATGGTGGCTTGTCAACGTTGGGGGACAAGGGGGCAGGAGGAGTGGTTTGCCGAGACAAACTTGGGAAATTTTTGCGTGCTTCAATGACGGTTTTTGATGGCCTGACCGATTCGGCGTCTCTGGAGGCACTTGCATGCAACGAAGCACTAGCCCTAGCTCGGGATTTGAATCTTCAAGATCTTGCCATCGCTTCAGATTGTGCAGAAGTGATTTCCAATATAAAATCTGCAAGCTTTCCATCTTATGCTCCTATTCTTAGAGAAATTCAAACTAGTAGCAATAATTTTATTTTGATTGATTTCCGTTTTGAGAGTAGATTTAATAATTTTGAGGCCCACTTGCTAGTCAAGGGAGCTGTGTCTCTCGCGGTGGGCCGCCATGTGTGGCTAGGGGTTTTACCAGACATTGCCTATATTCCGGACGTGGTGAACCTTTAATGAAATCCCTAGTTTACCTTCAAAAAAACATATATTAATGTGGGTAAATTTCTGTGTGGGTGGCTGCATGTGTTATCCACTTTTTTTTAGATGGTGAGAGGGTGCATGGGATCTATAATATCAAAAATTGAATACCTCAACTAAAAGAAAAAACTACAAAATTGGGGAAGATGGAGAATCAAATGAATTGAATGGGGGAGCTCCTTGAAAAATAAATGACCGGTCAAAATCGGGTGACCCAATTCTAAATGGGATAAGTATATTTTTCGTCCTCGAACTCTTTCGAAAGCTGAGAAATCGTCCCTCAACTCCAAAACCACCAAAAGTCAGTCCTTGAACTATTTAAACCGGATACTTTTCGTCTCCCATAACGCTTAAGGTGGTTTTACTGCAACTTGGACAATGTTTTGATTGAAACGGGCCATGTTGGCTGGTTTTGAATGCCACGTCAATTAAGTGTTTGTGCATGAGTATGTGTGTGTACATGTGTACAAGTGAGAACAAGAGAAAAGGAAAGTGTTTGCACTTCTACTTTTGTGTGAACAAGAGAAAGGCGACTGTACTGAATATAGCTCAAGAAAATCTGAATATAACTGAACATAGTTTGGACATTTCAGAGCATAATACTGAATTTAGTTGGGCATAGTCTGAACCCAATTTAGTTGAAAATAGTATGAA